TATATTCACTCTCAGATGTACGTGCATGCTGACCTCAAGGGATCCAATATGTTACTGGCAAGTTCAGCCGAGGACGAGGTAAGCAATGCTTTGTCACCTTCTCCACTTGTACAGTACTGCCGGTCGCCGAAGAACTGAGGGTCAGCATTGTCGCCTAGACCGTTCTTACTTTCATGTATTGCGGTCTATGCACAGCTGAGTCACCGTGTATACATTGGTATGCTGTGCTTGGTGAAATTCTAGCCTGGTCGTTTTTCGGCGCCCTACGGTACTGTATGCTACACCCGCTGAGGTGGCTCCGAGTGAAGGCAAACTGCTCAATACCTAGGCACTGGAGCTTAGACACGGCCGTCAGCACAACAGTGGACAGCAATTGTTTAGCATAACGCTGTGCGCCATGCACTCAGCAATCACCCGCGGACCAATACAGGGGACATGAGCACTAATGATAATAATAATAATAATAATGACAGTTCGCATTTCACTCATTGCATGAGGTCAACGCATCTGTTAACAATTTCGAGCCAAGCAGCTCTATCAGAAGCAGATTGCACAGCATCCAGAAGTGACAGATTAATGCATTGTAAGTCTTTCTTGACAACGTCGATCCATCTCAGACATGGTCGTCCTCGGGGTCGTCGTATGTCTGTTGTGTTGATTGACATTAGGAGGGCTTGGAAAGAGGACGATTCTTCGCCTTCCCTCACTACATGGCCGAACCACAGCAGTCTCCGTTGCCTGCAGACTTGGGATAGTGGGGTCTGCTCGGTTTTGGCATACAGCGCTGTGTTCGAGATTCGTTGTGGGTACGTGATACCAATGATGGTACGTAGTTTCTTCCGGTGCCATACATTGACGACGTCGGTTAATGTTTGCGATAAGGTCCAAAGCGCACAATTATACAGCAAGACAGGCAATATCAGGCAGGAAAACATACACAGCCTGGAATTCAGGTTGTGGCGTTTCCATGGAATGCTTGCAAATGCCCAATTTGCAGCAGACACTCTGGCTGCTATGTCTTCTGCTGTGCCTAGCATACTCCCCAGCAGCTTCACCGATTTCCAGGAATCATCTTCCTTGGTCACAGTGAAATATTGAGTTTTTGCCACGTTCAGCTTCAGATTGTCATCCGAGAAAACGGGTTCACACACACAGACGGTTTCTTCCACAGATGATCGCTCGTTCTGATGGGCAGTGGTGTCGTCTGCGTATTGTGTGAAAGTTGCTGGTAGGTCTGACGCGGGTAGAGCTTGCTCTCGGATCTTACGCATGGAACCTTCGGCGTAAGTTATAAACATTATTGGTGACATTGGGTCACCCTGGACGACGCCGATGTGCACTAGGTAAAGATTTATTCCCGTAGCTATGCAGAAGACGTTACTTCAGTAACGTCTGGCGCTAGCCAGGGTCCACACAGCTTTAATTTGGTATTTGTGTGTTTGTGTCACGCCTGGCGCTATCCCGTATCTGTCCCGTACCGTGCCATCAAACACAGCTGGCCACATACAGCTTGCCGCAATATTCAAATAGGGCTTTCAAACGCAAGATCATAACGTGAAGCAACTTGGAAGAATGGGTATGAATGCGAAGTGTATGGGGGAATGCATGTAGGGCGTTAGTGCGGGTTCGAATCCCAGGATATGCCTGAAAAAAATAGGAGAATGGAAAAATTTATAACATCCTTATGCTTTTTTTGCCGTCATCAAGGCGGTAGACGGTGTCGTATTACCCTCGATCGTACCTGTCCCGTACCTATCCCGTACCGTACCGTACCATCAAAGACGGCTGGCCACAATGCATATTCAAATAGGGCTTTCAAATGCAAGATCATAACGTGAAGCAACTTGGAAGAATTAGTATGTATGCGAAGTGTATCGGGGATGCATGCAGGGCGCGCGATAGTGCGGGTTCGAATCCCAGGTTATGTCTTAAAAAAAGGAATTTTTTTAAGAATTTATAACATCCCTATGCTTTTTTTTGTCTAGGTCATCAGGGCAAAAAGCATAGCGTAGGGCCCTGAGCTTCCAAGCTCTCTCGTTCTGGTGACTGGTAGTCAGGTAATTCTTTCACTGATTGTGAAGACGCGTGAATGCGGTGAAACGTTGCCACGAAGAGCTGGATAGGTATATTACTGTAGGACCACATATTTTCAATGGCGTTATTTCGTAACTTACTAAGTTACTCTCATGCTCCCATCTACAACAGTTACTGCCCACACTGCACGTGCTGTTAGATAATCATTTTTGTTTCTCTGATTCTTCGGTAGGTCTACCTTGTTGACTTTGGTTTGGCTGCACTGTACACTATTGACGGCAAGCACCGCGTCTACAAAGAAGATCCCAAGCGTGCTCATGATGGAACGATAGAGTTCACGAGCATAGACGCACACAACGGCGTTGGTATGTGTGACTGGCTAGCAGTTTTTGTTTTAGTTGGTTTGCAGAATTTGAAAGCTATTTCCCAATTTTCCGGTGTGTAGCCGAGAGAAGATATGTATTATTGTGCCTCGGTTTGCACACACAATGTGCTGTAAGGTAACTAAGGATGTACGTGATGGAAACTCTCCTTGCCCAGCTGATTGTGCTTGCTGATAGTAGACAAGCAGGGTCTCTATTCAGAGCCTTTTCGACTGTCGGCCATCTTCCAAGTTTCAGCTGTGTTTAAACTGTTTTAAATACATGAAGCATTTTGTTCTGCGGTCACCATGGTCACCGTACAACCTTCTTCGGTGCTTGCCTGCACCATTTCAGAATAGATATCTTAAGTGTGCACATGCGTGGTACTAATTTCGGGTGACATAACTTACCATAGACCACCAAATACCCTCGTGCTGCCTGTTTTTAGTGCTACAGTGTGGAGTAGTAGTATTGTCGGTGTTTCTTTTATCATGTTCAGCACCGTCACGTCGCGGTGACATGGAGATCCTGGGCTACGTGCTCCTGCAGTGGCTCTGCTCTCGGCTGCCCTGGGAAGACACACTTCACAACAAAGAGGAGGTTGCCCGGCAGAAAAAGAAGTGAGTTGTTGTCGACTGGGCTCCTCCGCGGCGGCCTAAAATCAATTTTTCACCAGTTGTAGTCTTCGGGGTGCTGAGTCGAATGGTCTTGGTCCGAGGAAGCTGAGACGCTCCCTTCATCCTTTATTCAATCGAACTCGCGCACTTCCTCCGAAACTGGGTAACTGCGCCCTACTAGATGGGGATTTGTATGCAAAATGTCACTAAATGCGCCATTTCGTTCTTATAAAAGCACGGATGACCGCGATTGGCCCTTATGTTGTAGTCTTTTCGACGCTGAGTCGACTGGTTTTGGTCCGAAAAGGCTGCGATGCAGCGTTCAACCCTTATTCCCAACCGAACATGGTTGAACAAGCGGTCACATGCTCCTGCGTACACCAGTCACCTGGTCACCACGCCAGCAGGCGACAACTTTCACACCAAGGTTCAACTCAAAGGTTCAAAGGTTCAACTCGAGTGACAAAAACTCGCCCAAACATGCTGTATATTGTAGCCTGCAGGCACGGTGACCAGGTGACTGGTGTACGCACGAGCACGTGACCACTTGTTCAGCCATGTTCGATTGGGAATAAGGGCCAACGCTACATCGCAGCCTTTTCGGACCAAAACCAGTCAACTCAGCGTCCAAAAGACTACAACATATGGGCCAATCGCGGTCATCAGTGCTTTTATAAGAACGACATGGCGCTTTTAGTGACATTTTGCATACAAATCCCCATCTAGTAGGGCGCAGTCACCCAGTTTCGATTGAAGTGCGCGAGTTCGATTGGGAATACAGAGGGAAGGGAGCGTATCAGCTTCCTCGGACCAAGACCATTCGACTCAGCACCCCGAAGACTACAACTGGTGAAATTTTGATTTTAGGCTTAACTTCCCCTTTAAGTTAATTCAATAGTGGTGCAGCATACACATTCTACAAATTCATCACAGCAGTGTGAGCACTGTGGAGTTCTACTATTCCTGTCAGCTCACAGCCAGTTCCCATCACAAAATGCTTCTGTCCAGCCAATGTCCTTGTGCTTTTCTTCTTCTGCAGGTACATGTCAAATATTCCATCCTTGATGAAGGATTGCTTCGGCGGCAAGAGTATTCCAGGTGTGTGTATGTGTGTGTGTGTGTGTGTGTGTGTGTGTGTCACACTTGTTTGTTTGTTTCTTTCTTTGCTGGATTGTTCGCTTCTTCATCCCATTCTCTCGGATGTTGCTGCCCAGGTGCAACTCGGATGCAGATGCTTGAACGTCCACTTCTCTCTATTTTGGCAATTTTCTCTGTCTGCATTTCACTACCAGCCACATGCACGCCTCAAGACCACAAACGTACCGCATTGAGTGGGTATCTTTCCTTGTTCTTCGCCCTGATACAGCTGAGATTCGGGACTACCTGACAGCCGTGAAAGGCATTGCGTACGATGACACACCGCAGTACGGCAAGTTACGGAGCATTTTCGAAAAAGCTCTGCGCACAAATGGGTGGACTGATCGTGGCGAGCTGGTTTGGTCATCAGCAGCAGCAAAGTCGTCTCCAAGAGCACCGAGCAAGGTACAGTTTGAAGAGTGATTATGTTGTACCTAGTCCTAACTAGTATTTCAGTAATTGATCATCCAGAACCAGTTGGGGGGGGGGGGGGGGGGGGCCACGTGATAACACACTTCATGTACTCCAAAATAATAACCCAGCACGGATTTGCGAGGTAACCTTGAGGCAGTCAAAGAATAGGAGTCCAGGAGATATATTAGTGTACACTCACTTGGTCGCTCCACCAGCTGCAGCAATTTATTGCGTTGATGCCGGTTGTGATTGTAGAAATGTACTGGGCAGTTTGGTGTATCCAAATTCCAAACGCACGTCCTGCAAGCATTGACTTTATTCTCTACATGTATGTGTGTTCTTTTTCTCAGAAACGTCGCTCGGCACATGTACTTGATGAAGAAGACAAGGAGGGAGAGGATGAAGACGTAGAGGAGGTGCAGAAACCCAAGCGTCGCAGGGGTGCCCGGGTTGCCAGCACAGAGTCGTCGCCAGCAGCCACCACCGCCGCTGTCCCACCTTCAAGTGCCGCTCGCCATGCTGCAGCCTCACCACCACCAGCAGCAGCTGCCGGACGTCGAGATCGTGCACGCGCTGCTACTGCTGCAACGGTGGCGACTGCAGAGCCGCGTCGTGCCACTCCAGTGAGGACAGGAGGTCGCAAAGCGCTTCCCACCGTAGGCAAGACTTCTCCCGCGGAGTCACTCGTTCCTCCCGCTGTCCAGAAAGTTTACAGACCGAAACCGTTGGTTGCGCCAAAGGCCGCCACCGCAAAAAGAGGCAAAAACAGACAGCCTGCCAATGACATCATTCCATCGGCAGCAGTGACTCGGCCACCGCCCCTACACCTGTAAACAACATACCCCGGTGGCACAATGCCAATCCCGTGCCCACAGTGTGGATCAGCTGGTCTGTGTCTTCTGTTCGCCCCCCCCCCCCCCCCCCCTCCCAATCATCCCCTCTTTACTCGTCTGCTGTACAGGATCCGTTACGTTTTTTAATTGTTTTATTCCGGTTTTTATCAAATCCATATGCCATGTGCACATAGACCCCCCGGCCCCTCTCCCTGTTGGATTGGTACTTCTTGAATGATCTATTTCAAGTGTTTTATGTTTTTGATCTTTGACTTGGTAGTTTAGGCCACTTTTTTTTGGTTGAAGTCACATAAGATTTTTTTATTCGTTCCTTCGTTTTCCTGTGTTTCTATCAACGTTTGTGTGCTCTTTCTAACCATTTTTTTTCTTCTATTATGGGTTTTCTACCTTAGTTTTTGAATTGGTGCTGTCGTCGTCAGTCTATTGATACTCTTGGCATTGCCATGCGTAGATATACGTGTGTGATGGTTGAGGATTTTATACGCCCCAAGGGTGAGCAGACTCACTGCTTTACTGAAGATGTCATGCATGCATGCACAAGCACACCTTGACCTTGATCTTGCCCGTTGCGTACGCAATGATAGCGAGTGTCGGAAAGTTCAAGTAAACCACGAGCGCAGAATTTGGCATGTGGTTTTAGGTCTCCTGGTTGACGAAACGGGCGCCCACAGACACAGAGAAGAGGATCAGGAGCGGGCCGTGGCGGTGGAGTGCTGAGTGCCGAGTGCTGCTGGCAACTTGTCTCCAGCCAGGACGATCTTGGCAACTCTCAAGCCAGGTGGTCACGCCTAGGTCAGTCGACACCACATCTTGCCACCTCTTCTTCGGGCCATGACGAGAACGGGGAAACAGCAATTGTTTCGGTGCGCGCGAGTCGTCCATCCTGTCAACATGACCTAGCCAACGAAGACGGTGCCGACGGATGATGCTGGTGATGTCAGGGTCGACACCAAGTGTAGCCGCTAATGTGGCCGTTGTGATCCGATCATCCCACTGTTGACGACGGCCAAACACACTGATGGTGTAACGTGATGAGCTTCTGGAGGTGGCCTGCCTTGGTGGTCCACGTCTCCGCACCATACACACAAGCGCGCGCACACACACACACACACACACACACACACACACACACACACCTGGCCTGGTGTACAGCTGCCAAATGCTTGGCCACGCCGCCCCGAGACAGGGGAGAGTAGAAGAGAGAGAGTTCGAGAGAAGTCAGCACTGCCACTAGGAAGCCGCTCCGCCACGACGACGTCCACGATTGCAATTGTGTCGCCGAAAGCCAGGAGCAGATTTAAAACAGCGATCACAGGTAGCGCAGTGCTTAGCAACACGGGTGGCTGGTGATTGGTATGCGCTGGGGTGTGGGCGGTGATGCCGGGGCGGGTGTCGTGCACTTGTGCACAGCAAGTCCACCGGCACTTCGGAACCACCGAAGGCAGGCATGGCATTGACGTGCGCCCGGCTGTTCCGCTACAGGCAGCTGGCGATCAGCAAAACATTTGTGTCGTTCGAGTCCAGATTTACTCTTGAATGTCCGTTTACATACCAAGCAAGAGAGCGGTACCGGGGCAGGACGCTGCACATGAGTGCGGTACGCATCTCTCCATTGCTGACGATCCTGGGCCAGAGTAAACCATTCATCAATTTGGCACAGTTTCATGTCTGACTGTATTCTGTCCTTCCACCGAAGACGAGGCCCCTGAGCTGGTCGGGGAGCGTCAAGCCATCCAAACAGCAACTGCTTAGGGAGACGGTTGCCAGGCATCCGAGCTACATGGCCCAACCACTGGAGGCGGCGACGGCGCATAGTGTCCGACACCAGATCCTCATCCCCCCCCCCCCCCCCCCCCCCCCAACGCTTACGGAGGTCACAATTCCGGACATGATTCAACTCCTGATCCCAGCGCGAGACTCCCAGGATACACCGTAGACATTGATCCATTCATCAATTTGGCACAGTTTCATGTCTGACTGTATTCTGTCCTTCCACCGAAGACGAGGTCCCTGAGCTGGTCGGGGAGCGTCAAGCCATCCAAACAGCAACTGCTTAGGGAGACGGTTGCCAGGCATCCGAGCTACATGGCCCAACCACTGGAGGCGGCGACGGCGCATAGTGTCCGACACCAGATCCTCCCCCCCCCCCCCCCCCCCAACGCTTACGGAGGTCACAATTCCGGACATGATTCAACTCCTGATCCCAGCGCGAGACTCCCAGGATACACCGTAGACATTGATCCATTCATCAATTTGGCACAGTTTCATGTCTGACTGTATTCTGTCCTTCCACCGAAGACGAGGTCCCTGAGCTGGTCGGGGAGCGTCAAGCCATCCAAACAGCAACTGCTTAGGGAGACGGTTGCCAGGCATCCGAGCTACATGGCCCAACCACTGGAGGCGGCGACGGCGCATAGTGTCCGACACCAGATCCTCCCCCCCCCCCCCCCCAACGCTTACGGAGGTCACAATTCCGGACATGATTCAACTCCTGATCCCAGCGCGAGACTCCCAGGATACACCGTAGACATTGATGATGAAAGTTGTCAATACGGATCTCATCACGACGAAGAACCGGCCAACACTCAGCACCATACAGCAAAACAGTCAGAACGCAAGTTTCGTACAGCATTTTCTTTGTGCGGATGGACAGGCCGGGAGTGTTAAACACACAGCGGAGTGCTCCAAATGCACGAGATGCACTGGCAAGACGACGATCAACTTCAAGGCCAACACGAGAGTCAAGGTCAACGAGGCTGCCAAGATATGCGAAGGAGGACACATGTTCAACTTCCTGACCTGCAATAACCAGGGGCTCATATACGTCGGCAGCCGTACCACAACTCACGAATTTGGTCTTTGAGAAGTTGATGGTCAACCCAAAGGCAGATGATATCCGATGAAAGGTCTCCAATGCCAGCTGTGCGGCAGCCAGAGTCGGAGCAAACAAGGCGGCGTCATCAGCAAACTCAACATCTAACACTGTAGTGGATTGATGACGGGTGCGTGGCCGATTAAAATGGTTTCCGTTTACACTATGATTGAAGGTGAAACCGCCACCAGGGAGGATTCGGGCCATTTCAGCATTCCACCGCTCAAACACAAGGCTGAAATACAGGTTGAACAACACTAGGGAGATGGAGCACCCCTGCCGGAGGCCATTGTTCACACTGATACCGTATGCCGATCGCCAACACGGACACGGGCCTGCATACCAGTGTGGACACACACACACACACACACGCGCACACACACACACACACACACACACACACACACACGCGTACACACACGCACAGTGCACTAGTGACGCTCGTACGAGTATTTGTAGAGAACCCTCCGAGTGGCCGGTAAAATCAGGTATAGTAATATTTTCAAATCCTGCCCTACTCTGTTGGCACAGCTATAAAGTATTGAAAAAATATTGCATCTACTTCGAAATACATTTCTGAAAGGTGGAGGTGGCTGGTGTCAACCTGAAGAATATATATCACAGTACCCACCCAATAGACTGTGTTGCAGGGAAAATGCACATCAGTAACTCTCAAAAGAGGAGCTGTCGAACGGTAGGTATTAAACACGGTGCAAGTTCAACGCTGCAGCACTGATCGCGGTTGCTGCAAGCCAGCCTCAGCGAGCACTGTCCTTGCCTCGCGCCCGCCGGGCCCCCTGCACTTACCAGCCAGCCAACCAGCACCAAAGACGAATGATGAAGTGCACAGGGATTGTCACGCCCCAGCCGAGACGTCCGATCAGCTTTCTTTCTGGCTCCAAAAACGGACTGCATCGCTAGCACTAGCGGCACGCAGCCCTTCCTCGTGGAAGGCAGAGAACAGCTCCTGCGTGAAGCCCTGCGCCAAGGTCGAAATGGCTGGGAATCTACCGAAAACTGCGTAGCTCAGGGCATGGCAGCGGCCGTGGCAGCAACTGCAGCAGCAACCAGTCAGCTCATCCACGGTCTTTCCTTGCTGTTCGGCACTGCTGTCGTGTGGCAAGGTACCGGATGATGGGCCGGTGGACTTGTGTTGGGGATGGCGTGGCTGTAGCAGCAGAATCTCGCCAGTCTCGGCAGGCCGGTGCACACCGTGCACATCCAGGCCCTCGGGAAACAGAACCTTGAACCGGTAACCATGCGGCTGGCCGCAACGGCGCAGGGCTGGGCTGATGAGCTTCTGTCGGATGTCGAACATGATGTCACCACCATCCATGCCGGTGAAGGAACACTGAAGCCATGTACGTGCCATCTCCAATGCCATCATCAATGCGCCTGCAACCTGCACAGCGTGTGCAGGGGATTCACAGCAGAGAGAAAACGAAACGAGTACAGTACTGCAGTGTGCCGAAGAACTGGGGGGAGTCAACCTTGTACGTAGCCTAGGCCGTTCTTATCTTTAATGTACTACAGTCTATGCACAGTTGAGTCAGTGTGTACACATTGGCATGCTGTGCTTGGTGAAATTCTGGCCTGTTTGTTCTTCGGCGCTCCGTTCTTTGACGTTCCGTTCTTCGGCGCCCAACAAAGCTCTTCCGCGCCAATCAAAATTTTGCATGCACGGTACAGTACAAGTCATCTATTTTGGGGGGGGGGGGGGGAGCTGTGCCCCCCCCCCCCCCCCCTTTGGCTAGAACCCTGCATAGGGGTTTGCAGAAAAAAATCTGAAAAAAACTCAAATTCGACCCACTTATGCAGTTGTGGCCAAAAGCTAGAAGTCCATCTTTTTTATGAATGGAGTGTAGTAGAGAGTGCTGGGTCACATCCATGCAGCATTGAGTCACGGCGGCGCTGACTATACCTATGATGTCGTATGGAGTTGTACACGTGTTGAAGCGGTTTCCTTCACCGTAGGATGCCGGGCATATCCACCAGAGGCGACTAGAGTGGCTTCTTGGGCTCAGCAGGTCACTCACTAGCTGATGGTACCGGCAATGCTACTCACACCAGCATACAACATGATTTTTCCTATTTACTGGACTGGATTTGTCACTATTGCTTTCTTTGCTTGCGCTCTTCAAGCTCTTCATCCTGTGCATCACCCAGTTTCTCAGGACACCCCTTCTGTTATCAAATAATGGCGAACTTCTCAGCATACAACATGAGGGGCCGGTTACTACCAATTTCAGTACCTATAGTACCTACCCACCATATCATACAAAGCTACTGAAGAGATCCAAGCTGACCCAGAATTAGCTACAATTTCTGATGTGTCTGACATCATCACTTTCAAGCCCTAAAGATGTTATACAAATGTCATCATAATTATCAAGAGTGCATAAACTGTTTATGGACTCTTGTAATTATGATGTGCTTTATACGGAGTGGCAATCCAATAATGATATCATCCTATCTGCATGGTATGTGCTATGGAGTGGCAAACTGATGCTTGCGATGCCACTCCATATGACATAATAGCACAATCCATTTTACTCCCCCACAACACCCCCCCCCCCCCCCCCTGGCCGACTTACATCTTTACGATCTGCATATGATCCCCCGTCGGCAATGACAATGCGCTTGCAACGCCTGTGTAACAGCGGTAGGAGGCCAAGGTTCTCAATGTGACCACCATCACTGGCAGAAAACACGGATGGTGCTTCCAGACCGATTGCTTCGATATCCAGAAATTCACGGATCAGAAACGCGGCATGGCACTGTACGCTGATGCACCTGGCAGCACAGAACACACACACACACACATACACACACACGCACGCACACACACACAGCACCAGGTGCAGGCACACAATATTATATCTTAGAACAAATTGACCATGAAAATTGGTACAAATGAAAACCTAAGGCTCAGGTAAAACTAAATCAAACAACACAATCCTATTTCAGAAAGGCATCATCTATTTTGAAGTACAATGTAGTGGTTGCTCACTTCATAAGGTCTTGAAATGACTTCGTAGCTTTGGCTAACCAGCCAAGGCAAGGTCCATCAACATCATCATCTGGAGATAAACCCCGGGTAGGCATGAGAGCGGCAAATGTGACACAAAGCGACACAAGCAGCTCCACGTAGACCGGCCAGTCACCGCCGACCACCAGGCCGTGGCACAGCACACTGGCCGACATCAGCACATAGATGGACACGTTGGCAGCTATCGTCTGCAGTGCAGCAAGGAAAGCAGACAACACGGCACACAGTCAATCCCGTGAATAACAACCTCGGGCCGGTATACTGTAAGTCTACAAATGTTGAGCCCGTTCAAATTTCGGCCTCCCAGGGGTAAAACCCATTTCGGCCGCATCAAATTTACGGCCTGTACTGCTGCCGCCTGTGTACACTGTCACACTGAACCTTGCAAAACAAAATCTCGCCCGCAAACGTGACATTTTCGGCCAAACATGACCAGGCCGAAAATATATATATGCGCCGAATATTTGTTGACTTACAGCAACATAAAAAAAAAACTCGTGAATAATGCCACTATCCTCAGGTCGTGCATCCATTCGGCTCAGGCGGCATACTTTCAACCTCACCAACAACAATACACGTGAATAACACCGCTTTTCTCATGCCTGATCTTGGGTCCATATTTGCAAGGTCGACCGCTGTATAAGCTCATAATTTATATGCACATTGCAGACCAAATGGGAAGGATATATAGTTGGCTCAGTAGCTGCGAATCATAGGTACTTCTGAAGCAACCATTTTGTGGCATGCAATATTGCATCAGATGAAGAAGAAGAATTGAAGAAACTAAAGGCGAATTGGAGGGAACTCAGTGCAGCATAATATTTTATAATAAAGAGCAAGGAACTTGCATCCACAGAATCCTAACACAAACCGCATTCACCTGCGTCTATGACAAGCAGAAGCTTACCTTTTTCTGGTTGGGCAGCCACTTTGTGGGGTTGTCCACGTTCAACAAGGATGTGCCGATCGCTACACCAAAGATGAGCTGCAGTGCTCGGAATGCTACCAAGGCAAACGTCTCACTATACACTCCGTTGTTCAGGCTTAGCGCAGCACCTGACAGTGCCATGGCATCCGATATGCGAATGTCATCCGGACCAAGTTGAACGCCGTGGGCTGCTTCGTCTGTGGGTGCCTTCGAGAGGATGTCCACTCGCTTTGACGACAGCACCATTAGCTGGGAATTCTGTTCATCATCGTCGTCCGTCAAGCGCCATTTATTCGCTACTATCTGGCTCAGGATCTCTATCTCCCCACCGCTGGCTCGGTCGATGTCTCCCAAGGTCATTCCAGCATCCAAGTTGAAGTCAATATAGTCTGACGACAAAGCCATGTCTGTTTCATCTTCCCCTCCTTCTCCATCCGACATACCCAGTGCTGGCATGCCATCCATCTCATCCTCTCCCCGTTCACTTGCCGCAGCAACATTGTCGGCCGTCACCACTCTTCTGCGAGTGCTTGCCTGTTCCAGACCATTATGTGACAACAGCTTACTCGTACTTGTAGGTAGATTAGCACTGGGACCGGGTTGCTCAGTGACGACTCCATTGCTTTCCGTGTTTCGCAACCAAGGTGGAATCTCATCGGGAGAGTTAAAGGAGTACACGCCAGAGCCCTCGGCGATAAATGACAGTCGCTGGGCAGTGCGCAATCGTCGCAACATCTTCGGCTTGACGGCACTCTCGGCGCGTGGCAAGTGAACACCAACGGACAGTCCAAACGGTGGCGCAGGTGAGGCTTTGGCGGCCGGGTGGTGTGATTCTTGCCGCACGGCACCTGCCGGTTGATCCCCTTCATTGCCACTCGCATACAGGAATTTCTGTAGACGCCACCTGTATAAGACGGCATGAGATAGGTGAAGTAACACTGTTAGTTCAATTGAAGGAACACCACTAAAACATACAGGAGACTGGCCCGGCGGAACCGGTCCGGCTGGTCGGGCCAAGGCCGGCCCAACCTTTTGGCCACCAACGCGGGTTAATGCTGAGGAGGTCATGTGTATACCCTTCATAAGTTCATATCATGCACAAAGCACGAAAGGCTAGGGTTTGGCTGGACCAATCAAATACCACTTCCGCCGGTCCAATGAGAACAAACTAACCAGCTGGTAACTACCAGTAGGAGAACCTATAATGCAGATGACTATCCCTCAGCGCATACGAGTACCCTAGACAGCCTGGTGCAGCAGAGCAAAGCAGAGCAAAGCATGAACATGATCGTACCCTAGACAGCCTGGTGCAGCAGAGCAAAGCAGAGCAAAGCATGAACATGATCGTCACCTGTTGTAGATGAACGGCAGCGTGAAGCGCAGCGGTCCGATGATTGGCATGCCAAGGATAACACCAGCCGTAATCCAGGTCAGGTAGAGTAGATGTGTGGCGCTCTTGCCCGTTTCATCAGCGGGCACTTGGAACACTCGCCATTGGACTATACCCGCTACTGCCAGGGCGCCCAGCACATGCCCAATCTTCTTACGCAGCGGCGACCCAGGTAGCAGCGTCCACAGCAACGAGCAGAGAACCACCAGTGCCACGCAGCCATACCAGGCAATGTCGTAATCGCCGTCCTTATCCAGTGCATGAGAGCTGGCATGCCTTGCCGACACTTCAAACAGACATGCAATGAGCACGGTGGCACCCAGCGAGGCCGTTTGCAACCCAATCCACGTGCCGATGGCAAACACAGCATGGCGACGGCCGCGGAACCTTTGTGCCAGCGACATCAGTGCTCCCCCTATGATAGTCGCGGCGAGAGCGATGAGGAGAATTGGCGACTGAATTCGATCCTGGCAATGATCCCCGGTGCATTGCGACTGAACAGCGATTGACTTTCGCATGTAATCACCACAGAACACCTCTACACGGAGCACTGACGGGATGAATGCAAGCAGAGCCATGGCTGGTAGCAGAAAGAACGATGCTAGGCCTGTCAGTAGGAATATCACTGTGTCTCCAATGCCTCTGTATGGGAAGTCATGATGCCAGTCGCAGTAGATGGCAAAGTTGCGCGACAGGTGCTGAAAGTAGCTGTCGGCAATCTGCTTTATGCTAGGCCAGTGTCCCGAGCCTTTCCTGGCCTCGGCAGCCCTGGCGTTGGCCACCCATTCGGCGAATGAACTGCCAATGTAACCTCCACCGCTGACGCAACTCAAGTGCTTGACTTTCGCACCGTCGTCCACTACCTTCCGGAGAACGCCGCTACAGAAAGCAGCCGAACGAATCCCGCCGCCGCTGAAGGCGATCGACACTGGTTCTGGTCCGAACCGCGAGCCATCGCTCTCCTCCGTTTTATCGTTATCGGTTGATCTCAATGAGGGTCCGCTATGCTCCTGAATAATCTCACGGTCATCCATTATTCCCTAAAATAAGGTATGTATATTCCGGTACGGTGTACAGCTCAGCAAGAGCCCAACGAGCGGCAAGCTCTCTGTCTTCGACCAGGGAGCAAACAGATGCAGTCCGGGGGGACGTCAGGGTACTACTCCAGTGCTTCTTTACTGTAGTATCGAACCTCAACCGGTCGTCAGCCTGACTCACAGATGGGTCCACTTGTCTCGACTGTGCATGCTGCTTACGCAAGGAAACGTTCTCGCTATGCTCCCCTCTTATCTGCACCGGTGCTCAGTCTTCTTCTTTCCACTATTCACGCGAATTCTTTCCACGTGCTGCATCCATCTTTGCCAGGCACGCTGCGTGTGACCAGCCCTGGCCCCACGCAACCAGTTACCTGGTCTGTACAGGACCGACTAGTGGCCCCAGTGCAGTCCGAGATCGAGAACATCACCGGCGATACCACCATAACCAGGCATGGTCATGGTGGTAACAAGGAAAACACGTAGTTACCACCCACACATTACCGGTATTACATCCGGTTGTGCTCGCAGCAAGCTAAGCACGGACCTTCGCTACAGGCATACCATTGCCATACCTAGTACCTGTCAGTGGACCAAGCTAGCGCTCTCTCTCTCTCTGTGCTGCGAGCTTGTGTCAGTCTGGTAGTGGGGCCGGCCGTACACCATGGTACACGTGCCGATGCAATGGAGGTCGATATTTCCCGAAAAATGCTCTCTCTTTCTCTCTCGATTGACTACGAGTCAATCACGTTGCCAGGTCCTTGGTCGTTTCCCTTCTTTCAGGGCTTTGGTGTTTGGTGTTTGGTGCTTGTGTTTGATGTTCGTGTTCCGCGTGTATAATAATAATTGTTTTTAATATGTCTACCTTCACAAATTTCCAAAGACCAGGACCTAGGCTAGGACTAGTCTTGAATGTCTCGATCACGCGCACGATCGAGACGTTGATAACGTTACATCACATTATTATAAATAAGAACGCTAGCGAGCGCGACTAGGTAGGTATGTTTTTATTTGAGAACCAAACGGCCACGGGCGGTGTCGCCCACATGGAAGCGGATGGAAACAATTAATTATTGTAGGAAATAGCCTGGCATGATAGCAGGGTGTAGTACAAAGCAAAGAATGCTCGAGTCAGACCAAGACAAGAGTCAAGAAGGCGAGATCGAGAGGTCAGTAGCACGAGTACTGCGAGGACTCGTACTGGAGTTGATAAAATCTACACAACACACGACCGTCTAAAAAAACAAACAAGCGTAGACCATGGTAGACCCACAGTCTAGTCACAGGAATACCGGTAGTACAAACTACAATCACCATGATCGCGCGGTATAGCTACTGCCACAACAGTAATAGTAATACCATGAATACTGGTACTGTCCAGGGAGTCGTCAAATACCGGTATTTGACGACTCCCTGGTACTAACAATACCTCCCTGGTCTGTAGAGACAGGGGAAACACCTCTCCAATCCCCCAAACTTCCAGCCCACAGACTCAGTACAGACAAGTGGGGCATGCAAGACAAGACCGAAAGACTAGCTAGACGAAGAGTGTAATACTACAATCACAGTCATTCTCTAATAGGCTGCGTTCGTTTGGTAGAGTAGAGTAGAGTCACTCGATCTACCGACAGAGGTAGATCATGTAGATGGTAGAGCCTACAGTCCATTCAGAAAAAGATGGACTTCTAGCTTTTGGCCATAAATGGGTCAAACTTTGAGTTTTTTTAGAATTTTTTCTGCAATCCCCTATGGAATCCTCTTCCAATTATGTTTCTGAAGTCTATTTGTCCAAAAAGCAAGCCATAACAAGAATAGGATATCGGCCAGGTTTTGCCCCAGAAGCATTGAATTGGAAAAAACCATCAAAATCCAGGCGTTTGACCCTGCCTGCAACAGTGCATTGTGGGGTTCGAACCCCAGTTCAGGTACCCTTTTTGGACTCTTTTTCAAAGTTCAAATTTCGCAGCACGGCACTGTGTACAATGAAATCACGAAAAATCGCCAAATACGGGAGCTCGCCAGAGCCAGGGCCCATCTTTTTCTGAATGGACTGTAGAGTAGAGGTACATGTAAGCAAGAGTACATTTTATGTACTCTTGATGTAAGTGCACGAACGCTGTTCTACCGGATTTAGTAGTTTACACGATATGTACGTGAACTGTTTCTTCTGTATGGAGTTGCGTACAAATCCTTGATCTTGCTGGAAATCCCGTACCTCTACCAACTTTTATTGTCTTTGTGGTACACTCTCACAACACCAACACACAGAAGTCTCTGCTGAGAGCATGGTGGCTCGGCAATGGCGAAGTAATTACCTGCCAGCTTCTACCAACTTTTTCTTGGTTGAGCCAGTAGAGGAAAGTAGAATCTACCCTTTTGAGTAGAATTTTGTTCCAAAAAACGAACACCTCTACCGAAAGAAGTAGTTTCTACTCAAACCTGTACTAGGCTGTATATCAAAAACGAACGCCCCCTTACTTTGCAGCCCCCGCATTTCCCATGGGCTGGCCGGGACCACCACACAGTAATCACAAGAACTAATTACTTTCAATTTTGTTTTAATTTTTGGAGACATCGATGCAATAACTGTACACCGCCGCATAGCTTAGATGAAAACCAGCTCATCTAAACAACTGAAGGCGGAGGATAGGCAATCAAGACATGACAAGCAAAGCAACAAAACAGCCCGAGCTGAAGACCAGTCAGAGCACAGGTGAAATGGTGAGAAAACGTGCTCAACGTGCTCTCCACGCTTAGCAACTAGTAGAAGAGAAAAGTCGCTAGCGCTTTCCACAGCACCATGTATTTTATGAGATAGCAGGCAAAACAATTGGCCGGGAACTGCGGAAGAGGATATACTAACCGGGCCTAGCGGTATTTCATACTTGAAGTATTTCATGGTTTTGACTCAATATACATTGGTCACCTGGTAACGGATGTATGGTATGGACGAGTGACATGGCATGTTGCGAGCAACACTGGGGACAATCAACAGTAACACACTTCCAAGAAGTACAGTGGAGACTCAACAGGTCAAGTATACATGACTAAGTTAGTTACGATCAAGTAGCTAGCAGCATGTCTGCAGCAGCTCAACGGCAGCTTTTACTGTGGGGTACCTGCCAGTGGCTGATGCGCCTATTGTGTACCACTAGCATCATCTGCGTCACCTGCGTCGTCATCATCATCATCATCATCATCATCATCACCGACTGTCGTGATGAGTTGCTTCTCGTCGCCGGAAGAGGCCGATTCTTCATCTTCACTGTCACCGGCGTCGTCGCTGTCTGCATCCGAATCACTGCTATTGTTGAGCTCAAACAAGGAGAGATTCTGCAAGAGCAGCAGAAAACAAAACCCGACGGCAACCGGTGAACTCAACGGCAGAATAATATCTGACATGAAAAGTCACTCAGGCCGCTCTTCATGATTTTCATGATTGCTCTCTACCACGGGGAAATGTGAGGGGATTAAGATTTAAGAATCAATGCATTCGTGTTCCAATGCCCCGCAGAGTTCATCAAAGATAGGAACACTCTGAAGACCCGAACGTATATTCGTGGTACATATCACAACGTGCCTAAAGCCTTCAGGGGACATGCTCCATAGAACGAGTACGGCGGTTTGGGTCAGAACTGTCACATTCGAACAATCACACGGTGGAAAAGCAGAGGCACAGGTTGCATCGGGCACAACCCTACGGAGGGAAGTGAGGGAAGTGCCTACTTAATTCCACATGAGATTCATCAGTACCTGTACAGGACCACCGGAAGGAATTTTCAATTGGTCCGGTCGTACCATAGTCTTCCATATGTTGTGTATAATACATGTGTGGCGGGAACGTATGCCCTCCTCAGCAGTCGCTTCCGGCGGGCCTGCTGTAACTGCCGCCACCAGTGCTGCAACTATTACTGACCCTCTGGCCACAACTTCACCTTGCAAGAGCTGCCTGCAAAGGCATTGCACAACTATTACTGACCCTCTGGCCACAACTTCACCTTGCAAGAGCTGCCTGCAAATGCATTGCACAACTATTACTGACCCTCTGGCCACAACTTCACCTTGCAAGAGCTGCCTGCAAAGGCATTGTACATGACAGAATGAAAGACATGAAGCTTTTCTTACCATCTCGACAACAGGGGCTGCTTCGTCTTCAACATGCTCGATATCGAACAGCTCAGCAGGCTTAGACTCCATTTCAGACTTCAGTTGCGTGTTCGCAGCGGCCAGCTGCGGCAAGAATGCTTTTACAGAACTCAGCGCTGTTCAGAGACAAGAAAGACACCACCGTCATTGCGAAGCACGCACCAGAAGCACGCGCACAGCCAGTCACAAGACGAGAAGAACCACATCAAGATCAAAGCCGGCACCCTCCATATGCAACGCAAAATGAATGTTTAAAAAAAGGTCAACAATGCCTACTGGCACTGTGATCAACTCATTCATAGATACATGTACAACGGCAACCACTACCGAAGAACAAAACTACTCCCAAAAGACCAGTGGGTGTAAATTTAATGTACGCCTTAGGATACATGACTGCTTGTACAAGATCATACAGATACACTAGTCACTAAGGATGCCACAAGGCGAATTATTTGTTCACTTCAGTTGCAGGTTCAACGGGGGAAAGTAAGGAAATGTCGTAAAACTAGACCCGCATTGATCAAGAGGGCATATTGTAGTGTTCGCAAGAACCGAGAACTGCGAAGTATAGAGAGATAAGACCAACCTTTGGACGGTTTCAAATCCGGCTTCATCCGTACTGGGCCTGCTCTGTCCTTTTCCAAACTCTTTATGACACCTACATGGAAGAAGCAAGAAACACATCTCAGTACCCGTGTTTCCACAGTCATAAAATGCACTGTGACATGTACACCAGGCCCACATCAATGGAAATTGGTGAGAAAACACCGCTGAGTGACTTCAACACCAAACATACTTCAACCCCGCTCTCACCACTGGCACTGTAGTAGGCTCAGCTGCACCAGCCGCGCTCGAGTCACTGCTCGTCCAATGTTACTATTGTACTTCGAAGTGCATGCACCCAATCCCGTCCATTAAGCATCTGGACCTGGTCCTGTTCGATGATAGCCTTACAGCTACCACCGTGCCAGCTATATCCCTTGTGCATGTGAATGTCGTTGGTAACTGTGCTCAACTTGACTTTTGCAGAGGTGGCGGCAGGTGCTACAAGTACATGTGCATCAAAGCTGGACCAATATTTGGGTGTTCTAGCCGTTCTTTTTCTTTTCTTTTTTTGCTCCTTGGGTACCCACATATTGAATTTTACTGAGCCTCACATTTTATCATGCAAGGGTGGCAAATGCCCTCAAAAACCACAATTTGGCTTGATTTTTTTCCAAAGTTTCCCTGGGAGGTCACCTAAACCCCACTGCTACATCCTTCTGGTGAGGTCGGACTAAAAAAATTCCGATTTCCATGAAGTAGGTTGGTTCGGCCAGCCCCTACCGGCCACCTTTCCGTGTGTTCTAGTTTACAATCGTCGCCACATCCACAACAAAGCGAGCAAATTTTTCACTTTGAACACAGTCTTGAGATCGCACTGTTGATTGTCATTCTGTCGGTCCAATGCCGAACCTGGCATTTGAGCTACCTCGGCGTAGATTTAGGAGAAAAGTTACTTGCGCACTGGTAACATAGACAGCTACTGGCGCTTTGTGCTTCCTGAAAAACAACTGAGGCCCTTCCAAATCTGAAAATCCGTTGTGAACTAATGCTGGGACTCCGCGTTTGAGAAGCACCTGATTGCTTCTGGCGGTTGCTGAGCAGGTAAACACAGGAACGTGTTTTCATACTTCTGTTGAAGTACCGGTATACCATGGTATACATGTAGCTCACAGAAAAGCCATAGCCATGGTGTGAAATTCGATGCCTGTAATGATCACTTGATTACATGGTTTTCCAGACGCTTAGGAAAGGGAAGCTCGATTCTGGATACTCAGGTTCAGGACCCGGGTGAAGGAGGCTTGTGCCCCTTGAAGGTCTTCTTTTTGTTGAGGCGCATCTTGTGTGCTGCATCGTAGACGCGTATCTGATTGTCGGAGCTCTGGCAGACCATCCATCGGTTGTTGCGCGACATGCCCACACTTGATACTGCATGCATGGACGGCTCAGCTATGTACTTGCTGTCCACGGGGATTTCCCATTCCCAGACTCGCACACTCTTGTCATCGGATGTTGAGACAATTCGTTTGCTGTCATCAATAAACGAGATGGTGTCGACGGCACACAAATGACGGTCATACTCCTGCATGATGTCACCACTTGTCGTGTCCCACTGGACTATCTTCTTGTCTGAAGTTCCACACAAGAAGATGTGTTGCTTGTCCTCATCTGGGTTGAACTTGACGCAGTACGGGATTTTCTTTGGTGTGTAGCGACCTATGCACTGACCGGTTTCTGTGTCAAACATCTTCACATAGCGGTCATAGGATGCCGTGAGGAACCGCGTTCCATCGTTGTTGAATGAGATGTCACGTACAGCCTTGCTGTGGCCTGTGTACGTACGTACCAGCCGACGATCGTTGTATACTTCCCAAAGCTTGACTTTACTATCCATACTGGCTGAGAGGAGTAAGTGGCCGGAGTTGGGAAATATTCGGATTGCCGATACGCCTTTTGTGTGGCCAGTCCATGTGTGTATGCAGCGCTTGGGCAGGAAGCACTTGTCGGGACCATCCTCGGAGTGAAAGTCAACATCCAGATCACGAGGTGCATGCAGAAATGATCCGCCCTGGTAGTCGAGAGGATCGTGGATATGCAGCTGTGTCTTCTCATCAATGGTCTTGTCGTCTTTCTGACGACTTTGAGCCACTTTGGCGTCATTATACTTGTCGAGTACAACCTGTTGTTCCTCTGATGGACGAGAAACGGTTTCTCTGCCATGGGACAGGGTAAACCACAACTAAACATTTCGGACATTTCCAACAGCCTGAAAAAGCAACCCCGCTGCCATCACAAGCACGCTAGCGAAGAAACCAAGATCTATAGACTAGTGTAGTGTGATTGTGTGTGCAAGCATGCTGCACTTCTAGAGACTGTCAGTACATCATGTAGCTAGTTAGCCTTCCGATTACACTACTCAAAGAGTGTATCTGCCAGGCATGCTAGCATTGTGCAGTAGAAAGAAAGAAAGAGAGAGAGAGAGGAAGAGAGAGAGAGAGAGAGAGAGAGAGAGAGAGAGAGAGAGAGAGAGAGAGAGAGAGAGAGAGAGAGAGAGACAGACAGAGAGAGAGACGGAGAGAGTGAGAGACAGAGACAAAGAGAGAATAGGGCTTCTTGAGGCCGCATAAGTTGGACTGGCCATGGCCAAACCGGCTCCGCCACTCCTGTTTTGAACATGTGTTCATCTTGAGTGTAAACCAGGTAAATGCCAACTCGTATGTCAGACAAAAGTAAGTCAATCTTTCGGTACTCTCTATCTTGCCATGAAAGGTGGGTGTATTGTGAATGTGCAAGTTGCACGTTGTTACAGTAGCAGTTCCTTAGTAATTAACGCCATATTCTTGCGTCAGGGTCCGTGTTTTCGATAACAAAATTAGCAAAGGGTACACATCTATTCTCTAGTGTATCGGAGAATGAATGTATTTCTCAATAGGCGGAGACTCCACTGCGGCTATCCATTAATGGCATTATATCCATACATCCTCACTCTCCAATCAGTCTCTGGACTACACTTGATGGGTGTAGCCCAGAGACCATTTGGAGAGTATTGTGAGGATGTATGGATATCGGAGAGTGAGTTCAAGTAAAATGCTATAATAATAATAGAGAGGTTCCGCATAACGTAATTACGTTAGTAAAAAACGTAGTCGATCTACGGAAAGTCTTACGTAAACTGCATGCGCATCTGGGTTCCGCCATACGGAGTTTTCAAATCACGTAGCTGCCCTTGGCAACTCCGAATGCGGCAGTGTACGACCAGATCGACCTGGGGAGAGAGTCATAAATGTGTACCCAATCCACTTACGGACCAGCTACGTTATCAGAGCCCTATCTACGTACTCTCCGTAGACAACTTTCCGTAAGTGGAGTGCAAACTCGCGAATTCACGGGTTTTTCCCGCCCACTAACGTAAAGTTGCTCAACTTTACGTAGTGCGGAACCTCTCTAATATTTAAAAAAATTTACACAAGGCAGAACAACAGAGCTAGAGACAAAAAATGTTCTCGTGACTCCGAGTTTCGTCTTCAAAAACACTCATCAGACCTGATTTTTTGGTCTCTGTTGTTCTGCCTTGTACTGCTTGTGTAGTACACCCTGCCCTTGTTAGGGTATTGAGTGCGTACTATTCGCAGCAAGGACCTCAGACACTTTGTCTATTTAAAAAGTACACAAATTCACTTACATTGTTCACCCGGAGTATGGCCCGAAACGTTTAGTAGGTCTTGGGAGGAGCTCATGTTCAGGTCGATACAGCCCAGGGACGGTGGTAACAATGAACAATTTCACCAACTCCTCAAGCAGGAATTCCAGAGATACAGAGAAAGAATCTAGCCGCGTACTGTATTGATTATCACCTACGTGTACATATAATGCCATGCGCCATGCGCCAGGGAGATCAACTCAAATCCAAAGACAATCGACTAAAATAATACAGTAATAGCACGAAACATTATCACATTCTTCAAAAATCCAGTCAAACTATGTGCACGTTTATGATTTATCGCAAGGACCACGTGGATGATTACCGGGGTTGTAGTCCAAGACCGGCCAGGTAGACTGAACCCGGCCGGGACTAGCGAAAGCCCGCATGACTGTTTTCAAAAATACACAAAGGCACACAATGAAAACCTTGGCAAAATTAATTTATTCCGTTGTGACTCCGAGTTTCATGGCTGAACCAATCATCAGACAACGATGATTGGTTCAGCCATGAAACTCGGAGTCACAACGGAATAAATTATTTGCCAAGGTTTTCATTGTGTGCCTTTGTGTACGCCGCTCTGCCTGAATCAGGCATTGAGCACTCTTGCAGAACCAAAGCATATTGCCTCTGTGTTTTCAAAAATAATAATGACATTGTCATGATTGTATTCTGCACTCATCATACTCACATAAAGTCATAGCACTACATTAAAGCAGTTTTGCTCATCATGCCATGGTGTTTGCTTCCCAGTGCGAGCTGATAAGACTGCTCACTGCTCACCAGGTAGTACACCAAGACTGTACATGTACGGCCCTACCGGGTACTAAGTAAAAATGTCTCTTGATCACACGACCACACTGCCTGCCCGCACTCACTCCAGATTCGCCAATCGATGACACCCCAAGAGAACATTGCACTCAAAATGTTCTTGAGAAAACGTTCACGTGTACATATGAAGTTGAGATGAAAACCAGCTCATCTAAACAACCAAAGGAAGAGAAGGAGAGAGATAGTCAAGCAAACATGACGTGGGTAAGGCAGCAAAAAGCTCAAGCTGAAAACCAGTCAGCGCAAAGGCGTGATTGCTGTCGAAAACTCTCCGCATACAAAACTAGAAGAGACAACAGGCTAGAGTTTTCTACAATACCATGGGTTTCATGAGGCTGCGGGTAGTCAAGTGATGGTGACTTCTAAAGAGGATACGATAGTGAGCTTCTTGTGAGTATCTATGTTGGTAGCAGGAATTTTCAATTTCATATGGCGGAGGCGACAGACACTGTGCGGCAAAGGATAGGCGGCATAGCATGAGTAGCAGACAACGACAGACACGGCCAAACTGTCCACACTGGCAATAGGCAGCGGCGGGACACTTGCCCAATCAAGTAGACAACAGCATCATTGCCACAAGAGCAAGTCAGCTGCAGCTTGCTGATGGCTTTCAGGATGGGGGCGCGGCGATGCCGAAGAACTGCTTCATCTTCTCGTACACGGTGAAGGACACTGCGACCTGAGGAACAACACGGATGAAGTTGAGGCTGACACCGCGATAAAGTCCGTAGCGAACGCCATCCTGCCGATACACATTTACGAGCGTGCGCACACAGCCGTCCGTGCTGAGCCAACAACAAAACAACAGAAAAGCAGCAGCGGTGTCAATACATGTGACAGAGACGGTGTCAATACATGTGACAGAGACGGTGTCAATACATGTGACAGAGAGACACAACTACTTCTGTTGAAATCTTCTTTAAAAAAGTTCAACAATAGTTACAATACTGATGGAGACACACACACCAAAGAGACAAAACATATGATATCAACAGACAGAGTTAGGAAGAATCGAAAATGGCCAGAAGTCAGATCTAACGTTAGACCTATGTCCACAATGCTAAAATTAAATTAACATCAGCTATTAAAGTGGGGAACTTAAAGACAGCAGATTTTCGGCTCCACAAAAGTTCACTGTTGATCTGTGTTGCCTTTGAGCAGCCTGTTACATGAGCCGAGCATTATCCCTATTACGTTCAGCTTGACTACATAAAGCTATACATGTCGATATTAGATGCATGATGAGACAATGTAACAATTGACGGCTTACTGTGTTTTACTTGTGGACAACTGCATACGCCGACGCACCACATCGAGAGGATATCTAACACAGCAAATGACACGAGAGAGAGAGAGAGAGAGAGAGAGAGAGAGAGAGAGAGAGAGAGAGATAAGTGAAAACAACGGTAAACACAGACCATGCCTAGCTTTGTTCAATACACTTGGAGCCCAAACTCAAGCACAAACACAATAGAAGCCATATTTTCTCTGAAAAGGGGACACACCCTCCACGGGAAACCAACTAGTGGTCCACAAAAGATACCCCCCCCCCCCCCCTCCCCTCCATCCATTGGTACTACAACAGACACCAGGTCATCAGCATATCAGCATCATCACAATGGTGATGTAGCTATCCACTGAGCCACACACAATGAAACAAAACTTACGAAGTTATCTGCGCAATGAGGCCGGAACAAGCACCACAGCCAAGGCTTCCAGGCACGCTGAGGACAGCACCATGTCCCGTCTCCATTGTCAGATACTCGGGGAAGTGATTGAAGCAAACAAATTTTAATGCTTCATATGTATAGAACGCCACTCCTACATAGAGAAAGAAACCGAGAAAGCGACACCAAGACAAGAGTAAAACAACTGCTAGAATAACATCTCTTATCGGCCACAGGCCATCGTGAGAATAAAGATTTGAAACATACTTGAAGTACTGAGTTATGTCATGTGGTGTGAAACGCTGCCGTCGCAGCATGACAGAGAAAATGTGGGAGGTTGGACACTTGTGAGGCTATATAGTGATATGCTCTTTATGCTATGCACAGTAGGGAGAGAAGAAAAACTATAGTTACAACTCAGCGCTCTGGGTGATCTTCAGGCTCCTCTCTCCCTACTGTATGTAAGGAAACCACCCCACTGCTGGGCACTCTTTGATCGGCGGGGGACTCTGATTGTACTGTTAATGCTATACGCCTACAAACTGTAGGTGTGCTGAATCTCAGCCCGCCCCACACATGCAGTACACGAAGTACACATATACACACACACACACACGTACACGTGCACACACACACATACACACACACACACGGCTAACCTGCATAAGGGATCATGCCGAGAATGGTTGGCACAAAGCCACGATACACAGCACGGGCTCCTCCCTCCTAACAAAAGGCAAAGAGAGAGAGAGAGAGAGAGAGAGAGAGAGAGAGAGAGAGAGAGAGAGAGAGAGAGAGAGAGAGAGAGAGAGAGAGAGAGAGAGAGAGAGAGAGAGAGAGTTCAGCATGCATCCCAGCACCCAAATAGCTCCACTTGCTTGAGAAGTGGATACAATGTACATGCAAGTCATGATACGAAGTTTATTCGGTGCGTAGCCTTGGATTTAGTGTGAACACAGACAGCGTAGCTCGTGTTGCACAATACTCAAGGCTGAACTATAGGTTTATCTCAATCCTCTCAGCAACTACTTGCACGGTGAACGAGACAGTCTGATGTGAGATAACACATTCCATGCACAGAAGTCACAGATCAACAGAAAGAAGCTATTCTTCCCCCTGGCTATTACAAAGTATAGCACTATAGCATCACTATTCAGCACATGCCAACTATTAGTGCAGCCATACCTCACGCATCATGGAGAAAAGAGTGTGGACGATTCCTCTGTACTTGTTCTCGTTAACCTGGGGCGAGGATCAAACAGCATGGGCAGGCAATGGACAACAAGGGGTCATTGAGCGCATGACTAACAAGACAAATGGCCAGAGCCAACCGAGCCACCACAGTCAATCAGAAACACAAAGCAGCTTCCACATCAAAAGATTTGAGGCTATATTTATTTAGTCGCCGAGCGGAAGACAACGTTTAGCAGGAAGTGCAAGGAGAGCCTTACCTGAAATGCTAGCCGGGCTCGAACAATATCTAAGGGATAGGTGAATGTTACAGCGGTTATCCCTGCGCAGGCAATGGAAAAGAAGAAAGATAGAGAAAGAGACAAGTCAGAATAGAAGAAAGAACCAGAAAAAGTTGGACCAAACAACACATGTACAGACAGATAGTGAAAGTAGATGATGCCAGGCATTGCTAGTATTTTGAGCAAAGGTGACTGGTGAAAAGCCATACTTCGAAGTACAACCGGAAATGGTGATGGACCACGTCATTATTATTTCTATGGCTGGTGAACCTGAGACCCAAAGTTCAGTTTCCGCAACACAACACACAAACACACCACACAGCATTTCAATGAACAGGAATACCACACTCAGTTTGCAGGGGGCTTACCCGCCAATGAGCCGCTGGCAAATTTATTCAACGGTCCCAGCTGTGGCATCTTCATCAGTATCTGAACAAACCGAAATGAAACAAGAAAGAAATTCGTGAAAGCATCCCTGGCCAGGCAAAGGCATATCGGTACGCCTTGTACAGAGGTTATGCAAACGGTAGATAAAGGTATCCCATAATTGTACAGGTAAGAAATGTCACCGTGCATTTTAAACTCTTTTATGACTTATAATACATGTATTATAAGTCATAAAAGAGTTGCATGAACGGAGGGGGAGTAAATTGAATTTATTTGCTCAAACTAGGAATCAAACCCGTGAGGGCCGCAACCCCATGTTTGAAAGGCAAGTGTCCATAGTTATGTGAATGACCCAATGATAATAAGACTTAGTGCTGGCTTTGCACTAGCGAACCAGTGCTTATGCTGTCCCTCGATACAACAATACCTCAAGTAGTGGCACAGTTGGCAAACGGGGCAAACATACCTAATGCCCCCCCACACACACACACCAACACCAACAGTTGTTTTCTTTACCTTCTTGTATCGCTCGTAAGCCGTAAACTGAATGGCCGCATAAGGAAATATTCTTGCCATCATTGCCCCATTGCCTGCATGCGAAGAACAAGAGTGCCAACAGAGAGATTGAAAAAGAAGAAGGTATCATTGACACAAGATGGCTGAAAGCCTCCATCATAATATCTATCAATGCTAATGAAACAGGTGGGTTACTGCTTTCAGGCCAGACGTTGTTTAAATCGCGTCCAACAGGCGTGTATAATGCAGGGATTGCAGGGCGAATGGACACCCCTGAGCACTGAGTCAACAGGCATTGATGTACTAGTAATAGAACACCTGTCTAAACAGTAATTTACTGTAAACTACCATGGACTTGTATGGCCATTTCATTGGGACAAGCTCAGGGTTTTCTACACCCCACCCAGATACCTGCCAGTTCATTGGGACAAGCTCAGGGTTTTCTACACCCCACCCAGATACCTGCCAGTTCATTGGGACAAGCTCAGGGTTTTCTACACCCCACCCAGATACCTGCCAGTTCATTGGGACAAGCTCAGGGTTTTCTACACCCCACCCAGATACCTGCCAGTTCATTGGGACAAGCTCAGGGTTTTCTACACCCCACCCAGATACCTGCCAGTTCATTGGGACAAGCTCAGGGTTTTCTACACCCCACCCAGATACCTGCCAGTTCATTGGGACAAGTCCGCGGTTTTCTACACCCCGCCTACAATTTTTTGTAGGTACCGTAAAGTCGGGTATAAAAGCCACGGCTTATATGACTTTTCGGGGGAAATTTTGCAGGCTTCTATATGACACAGGCTGCTGTACAAGACAGGTATTTCTATGTATGTGATAATGTCAACACTAAAACCAGGCTTATGTGCCGACAGTGTATCTTGAAAATCAGGCTTATATATTCAAAACAGGCTTCTATATGAGACAGGCTTTAATACAAGACACTACGGTATGTATGGTCTTACCTTTGTAATAGCCTAAAAGGCTCTCCTTGGAATAGATGGCCAAAAAGCCAGACCAGATCTCTGCACAAACCATAGCATACACGAACACAGCACACCGTTGAAGAGATCTTCCGTATTAATTTTACACTGGAAAAACTATGCTGTCAGCATGACAGAGCGATGAGCAATGAAATACGAAAATTGGTGTCAGCAACAGCACTCTTCGCCCCTCAAGTCGTGCACTCGCGTGTCATACATGCACACGAAAGTAGCCGAGGCTGAATCCCATCTCAATGACCAGAAAGTTATTATACATGTATGTACAAGACAACGAAACAAAGAACACAGAAAAAAAAGGAGCTCACTGCCTTCAGTCGGAGGCGGGGACGGAGGTGGTCATAGAAGAGAAGTACGCCCATGGGAACTAACACCGGATGGGAGTGTGAGGACAGTATAACTACTTACGCAGCTTTGCGTAGTGCTGGTTCTTGGCCTGGTAGAGGATCTTCAGACGATCGAGCGGCGCAGTTGTGGTCTTGGCACAGCAGCCAGCCACACCTAACAGAGCAATGTGTCAGGCATGCAGGTAAATAAACACACACACGGATATAAAATATGTGTCTCCTTTTCCGAGAAGTTCACGGTGGCCGCTAGTACAGTGGTCCCATTATAATCCAGCACCATTCGTGTTACGGAAATTCTGCCGGATTGGGGAGGGTGCTGGATTAGAAAATCTGATTTATTGCTGCAATGTGCATGAAAAGGACATTTCGGTTGCATAAAAATTATGCTGGTTTACACAACTTTACAGAGGGTCTCTTTTCTCCCTATTCAGATCAAGTATCACCCAACTGTGTGGTGTTCACACTACATCTGTCCCAAGCCAGCAATGGGTACAACCATAGTACGGGCGGTGACTTTAAAAAGCAGCTAACATACTGTAAGTCCAACTTGATTCTACATGCATATGCCGCGACCATGCAGTTAATAGTGGCAAGAGGTCGTTGAATGTCAGTACAGTGGAGTGCCAATTATCCAAACGTCAACTATCCTATCAATTATCCGAAATGCCTGTTTGCATCGAATTGAAGGGACGAAGTGCGTTTTTGCTGATTTTCCCCACCCGAAACACGATTCACGCGGTGCACAAAATGCATTGCAACAGGTTGGAGTCAAAATGTATCACCATAGTGTCATTTTGAGGATCTGGAGTCCGCCTGGTTCCTTTCGTGCTGCTGAAGAGAATGAGAAATGATGAAAAAAAGTGGGAATCGGCATGTTTTAGATGAATGTGTGGCCGCTCCCTTATCCGAACATTCTCCTTATCCGAACACCCTGGAGACAGCCAGCGCCCCGAGGGGCACGGATAATCGGCACTCTACTGTACCACATATCGTTCATTTTTGTGCTTCTGATGCACTGTTCCCGTGCTATAGCTTGGCGAGAATAGCTCCCTCGACTCATTCTCATCAATTGTCCGAGTGTTTATTTTTTGCAAATGTAGCACCAGAGACAATAATGCCGGGTCATTGGCACTTTCGAGTGCTCGGTTACTTATTTTTGAAGAGAACTGACCGTCGAAGGAGACAGACAAAATCATTCAAGGAAGTAAAAAAAACTTTCTCAAGTACTGCGCTAAGATCGTACGGCTAATATAACCAGGGGTGGACTGCAGTTTAGGTATACGACCCAGAGGAGGCTACATGTGCCCGGTTTGACAGTAGAAGTCTGGTAGATTCATCAGCGTAATTCATTGAGTGCTTTCGATTACACAGTAGGACCAAGGTTTTATATAATTCTCGAATGAACGGATTGCAGCCATGTAAACAAACGACTACACATGAACATCGTAACGGGATCTTTTTCGGTAGTGGTTTTGAGAACTTTTGACAAGAATAGCTTCTATAATCGACTCAAAAGGTAAGTTCTGGTGACAACAGAAACATGAAACTTGGCAGGCACCTTTTAATCAATCAAAGGAACACCTTTACCAAATTTAAAAGAATTCCATAAAGCAGTTTCAATTTACTTGATGGCAGTAATAAGTAAATTTACCCCCAAATTGACAAATTGATAGCACTTGACAAAGTATGCTTCTGGTAGATGCAGGGGGCTATAACTTTGCAGACTCTTCCCATCACTATCTAAGTATACCTCTACAAAATTTGAATGAAATCCATTGGGCCATTATGTTTGACTATAATGTTTTGGTCGATTGCACATATCAGCCAACATTGGATTCAGTAAACTGTGCTCCTAGGTACTTCACATTGATTCGATGTCAAATATCTAATGTTTAGCATATGAACCACATAGTTGGCTGCATTTCTTGAAGAGATGAAGAAAATCTATCGGGCCAATTTCGGGAAGCACCCCGCAGAGTACCGATATTTGCGGTCCAAACCGAATGAGATCGTTAGTATGGGCAGCCAAGAACCCTGAAAAGAAAGCCCAGCCACCCTATTTGGCTTGGCTTGACTGCAGAAATCACCACTCAGTTACCTGAAAAGAAAACTACAACATTAAGTCTGAACAATACAACAGTAGAAGCAAAATGCCGGGATATGTTTTTGTGCAAAATACTCCAAAATACCAGAAATTTTAAATCAGGTTTTAATTAACCGGCGGTCCCTTGCGATATTTTACCGTATGATTTTGTTACAACTGCACTGGTTCACATAATCACAATGCGCCGGGAGAGGTTGCAAGAGGGCCACTCCCGGCGCGTACCAGCGATATGTGAACCAACCCTTAACCGATTCGCTGTGGCTTTGGAGTTGCCGTTGAACGAAAACAGCCTTGATATGACCAAGTGGCACTAGTAATTAGACTAGTTTTGAGAGTACATTGTAAGTGTTCTTATTCGGAACAATGATACTTTTTCACATACAGCTGAGATTTTGTTCCCATTGCTGTCAGTTTTCTTGAAATCCATGTACATGTAGCTAGGTACATTTTGAAGTAGATGTAACTGTATATTTTGTAGGAGTTCGAGATACGATCTGATCCAGATTGGTAACTTTGTGATGCATGTTCACCGGTCGACTTGTTCGTCTCGATTTAGTAATGCATTGTAATAGATATGTTGTGTGTCATTCTATTGCCACGTTGTTATAAATTACTTCTTCTATGTCGACATTGCTAGTAAAATATAATTGTTCTGGACGGTGCACGTAAGTAATTTCGTTTTGTGTGGTGTGTGCGAGTGCATGTGGTGTCCTAGGAATGGTCCCATGTGTTCTATGTGCGCTGGAGTACTGCCACCGTACCAGGTCACTGCCCTAAAGGCATGGCCTGGTACATAATTGGCAGTGCACCAGCGTACGTAGCATGCCTGGGGTCATTCCTAACGGGCGTGGGTACGCCGTACACGGGCATTATCGTCTGATAATGCCCTGGTACGGTGCTGCTCTGATTGGCCAAATGCTAGCAACGACCTGACAACAGGCACGTGAAATGTATGAATACAAATAATAACCAATGTTCATGTGCTCGTACTAGATAGTTGAAAAAATCCATTAGCCCAGGCTATACGCCTAGTCTCTAATTATTATAAGCCCGGGGTCAGGCCTGGTTGAAAAGATATAAGCCTGGGGCTTATAATGGAGATAATACGGTAGTCGTTATGGAGATACCACCCACTGGTACGAATATTTCGGACAGACGTGTTAAAAACAGAGGAAGTGTTCGTGGCGAAACTGTTTCACTCACCTCCCGACACAAGCGTCTTCATCGTGTAAGAATATCCAGCCCAGTAGTTATTGCGTGACAAGGAACCTGCATGCTCCAAACCGCGCTGACTACTATCCACTGCATGCTGCCCCATTTCAACAGCTGATCAGTAAAATCGAACAAAACGACAAGCATGATCCACTCCTAGTCCTATCCAGCCAGACTCACAGGATCAGGCTCATCAGGTAAGCAGCAAGATCCTCGAATGAGTGTAGATCTACCACGAAGAACGACCACTTGCGCGATCACCAATGATGTGCCCGGCCTGTCAATGAACAAAACCCAGCATCACTCTCATCAGGCATCAGTGTGTGAGATAGAACCAGGAATAGACTGCAACCAAGAGTAGATAAACGTTTATCTACTCTTGCTGCAACGTGCAATGATGCTGTTCTCCTTTTTTCCTGTGTATTTTCCCCATTTTTATGCGATCCTGCATATACGTGTACTCGATCGAGTACATGTACTCGTACTTCGTAGTCGTAGATCTATAAAAATAATAAAAGACAAGTACGTCAAAATGCTCGAAATTGCGTGCTGATTATTTTTGCACATTATTTTATTTGCAACAACGACGAAACATAGGTGGTCAGGAACAACGAAACAACGAAATCAGTTCATTTCTCCAAAACACTGGATCGACATGAAGTCATTGGACATTATTTTCATCTTCTCAGTACGAAGTACTAGTGAAGCAGTTTTCAATCGCTGCAGTTGTCCTGAAACGATTTCAACGCAAAAGAACAGCGCTGCCTTCTCTGCGTCATGAAAGCCCGTCGGAGAGCAGCACTTCGTTCTGAAGAACGGAAGTGGAGCATAGGCGTAGACAATTTTTAGTAATTTTTTACGACTTCCAGTTGTTGTTCAGTCCTAAGTTTCGTTGCGCATGAGCTGGCGCGGCATGACAAGCCATTGAGATCCGCGAAGGGAGCCAACCACCTGGAAGAAGTAATTTAGTTGTCTTCAATAAAATCTTTGCACTTTGCCTTGCACCGGCTTGGATCAAATTTCGAGAGAAGGTGGGTTTCTTCAACGCTATTGTCGATCCTGGAGCGGACCAGGGATCAATTTTTGAGTTACTCTTGGCTAGAGAAGGAGAAAAAATGAACTTCGAATTACGAGTAGAGCAACTCCATCTCACTTCGAAATAAGCGCTCGAAGGACATAGTCACTGTACTGTAAACTGCTCTTCTGTACGAAGGCAGAGTTCGAATTATCCAGCGGGTGCACGCTTCGTACTTCGAATTATGCATTCGAATTTGACTTGAAGTGACTTGCAGAAGATTGGTACTGTACGACGAAAAAGTTCGAATTACACGGAATGTTCGAATTATACCGTATTCGAATTAGAGGGAGTCTACCTGTACAACAAAACACCACCCATGTCACATGTTTCGATCCCGCTGGTCGGCAGTAGGCCCAGACAGATCCTGCCGGCAATTCTTTCGGCAAAATATCGAAGAATTGAAAGAGCGGAAATTGCCGGCAAAATCAGAGCAAAATATCGAGATTTTGGGTAAAATCGATGCCTGATACTTGGATTTCCTTGGTTCAGCAGGATACACTGCCCAGGACGAGATCATGTCACCGAAATATCACTGGGATTCCCTGTGGATCCGCATGATTTTGGAAGAACTCAGGGACACGTGCGTGGAAATCCGTGTTGAGAAACCGACCCTGCGATTTGATGAAACGTTGTACGGGAATTGGATAAAAATATAACATAAAATACACGTTTTCCGGAGCAACATGTCGAGATTCTTGTGCCAGGCTCAGCAAAATATCGATGATTTCGCAGCAAAATATCGAGGCGAGAGGAGCAGAATCTGTCTGGGCCTGGCGCTGTGCTCACTGCTCACTGCTCAGCAGAATGCCACTTCTGATCCTCTGTTTTTTAACATTTTTTCTTCTTCTTTTTATACTTGTGTTAATGTTGCGTGCACGATTGATCTTGGTTTTTCCATTATTATTTGCCATGGCGACCCCCGTAAGTCCAGTGAGCATGCCTCCTTCGTGCCCGTTGTGCTTTCTGCCTCTGGTGGCTATGGCAAGCATGCCAATGCTGTTTTCACGCGGATTGCCTCTCTCCTGGCTGAGAAGAACAAGGAGCCATACGCGCAGATTATCTCCTAGACTCCTGGCGCAAGGCGGCAGTGCAGCAAGGAGTCTAGGAGATAATCTGCGCGTATGGCTCCTTGTTCTTCTCAGCCAGGAGAGAGGCAATCCGCGTGAAAACAGCATTGGCATGCTTGCCATAGCCACCAGAGGCAGAAAGCACAACGGGCACGAAGGAGGCATGCTCAACTTCGCGTACTCGCTCTTCGTACTTCCGGCGCTTTTCCTGTTCATGGCGTCTGTAGCTAGCAGTGAGGGAGGTGGCACGATTCGAAGACGCAAAAGGGTTGAACACCCGTACATCAATAAAGATGCGCTCGAATCGGCCACCCCACACACCACTAGCCGCAATGGCCAGCCGAGCTTGCTCCTCCGTGACAGCTGTGCGATGGCGGATGGCCTCTCCGGTGACGGGCTGGAGGTGGGGTTCCACCGTAACGTTATGAGCGACCTGCCTTAGAGCTCTGGCGGTGATGTCCCTCACCTCGTTATGTCTCGGCGTCGGGAAGCCACCAAACGGGCACGACAGGGCATGACTCACATTCAGCGGCTTACTGCACAAGCAGAGGCTTGGGAGCCGAGGAGGTGTCCAGCCGTACCGGAGGCACAGGCCATCCCGGAAATCTCCCTTGGTGAGGGTGAAACCATGGCGGCTGACGGGGCGGCAGGTCAGCCAGCTGGATGCACCCTTTTCTGAGGCCAGGTCGAGAACAGGGGCCAGCTCCCAGTGATCCGAGCGAAGGGCGTCAGCCATAGACTTGGACGCGCTCCGCTTCTCGGCACGAACCGTCGCCTTGACCGTCCGGAGCTGAGTCAGAGAGTCGCCAAGAGACGACTCCTGCTTCAGCAGGCGAGACACGAGGCTAGCCGTGATCCTTCTGGATGAGGTGTACTGTTCAGCCACTGAACAAGGGTCTGCCATACCCAGTCCCCCAAGCCGGCAAGGCAGAGAGAGTAGGGAGCGAACAGTTGTCCCAGGTGGAGCCTGACCCGTGATGGCCGGGATGAGCCGACCGCTGATTGCGTGTTCCAGCGGTTCAAGCAGGGGCAGCGGGATGGAGGAGGTCCGGCAGAGGATGGACAAGTTGTTCTATAAACTCATCCGTACCCAAAAGTGCACCAAGGTGGCGGCATCCATCACACGTGACCTGCACATCGGTCCCCTCGAACGTCTCGATAGCAGCTGCGTACCTCGAGGGCTTGACCAGGAGGAGTGACTTCTGGGCGTTGCAGTCGTAGCCATACCCGGGACCGTGGCTGACAAGATTGTCCCACCATTGGCGAACAGGCGTTAGCTTCCCACCAGCTGCAGCATCGTCCGCATACCAGCCCTGCAGTTTCGCACCAGGTACTGCAACTTTCTTGATGAGCGGGAGGACTCCAAGCGCGTATACGGGCATGGCCAGAGGGTCACCCTGGGTGGTACCCTCACACGATAGCAAGCACTCTCCACCAACGAATAGGCGGGATGGTTGGCGGTAGGTATTGATTACAGCTGGCGCTATAGAGGGACAGAGGTGACGGATGTTCCGTAGGCAGGCTTCACGGTTAAGCCGGTTGAAGGCGTTCGAAGCGTCGGCGAGCAATATGGCATCCGCATCCTCCTCACGGTAGACATCTTGCATCGCATGGATGGCAGCTTCAATGCCGCACTCCTGACCGGCACACAGTTGAAGGGTGCCCGCTGCATCTTGGATATCTCTCCCGGTGACAGTGAGGATGGCTTTGCCGACAATGCGCCTGGCCACTTCGCCGATACCAATGGGTCGAACACCCGGCGACTTGTCAAGGGCTATTGGTCTGCATGCGACGAACGCCTCCGGTGTCGCTGGGTTGACGTATGTGGTAGCAATGCGGCGAGCGCATGTCGCAAGCGAGTCACACAGCTCATCCGACGCTTCGGAGAACGCGGTGCACATGCGCCGCCATCCATCAGCGTCCACGCCCGATTGCCCAGCCGCGCCGTGGGTGTGCAGGGCGGCCCGGCAGATGACGTCACGGGTCAGGCTTGAGAACATCACACTGTGAGGCTGAACAGGCGGCTCACCAGTGAGCAGATATGCTGCATCAGCCGGCTCCCCTGCCGGATGTTTGCTGATAAGAAGGTCACGGGTGGTGTCAGTGCCGACAGTGGTGTCCAGGCTGAGAACTCCCTTGCAGCCACCACTTGATAGCTGACAGAGGGCGGATGGTAGTTTGCCGGAGGACACATTAGCGGCGAACGCCCTTGCCAGGTCAGGGGGTCGATCGGGCGGCTGGCTGGTGCCTGTCCTGCCCCCCCCCCCCCGGACCCGGCTGCTTCTGGATGGTGGTTGACTCGCGGAGCAGTTCCGGCAGGCTTGCTGTTCGCCGAAGTCCAAGACGTCTCCTTAAATGATACAATCATGTAGTTCACTGTATACATTGTACAGTGGTCCCTCTATAATCCGGCACCATTTATGCCGCCACGAAAATTCTCCTGGATTAGGGAGGGTGCTGGATTAACAAATCTGACCTACTGCTGCAACACGATGTGCATGAAAAGGACATTTTGGCAATTAAAATTGTACTGGTCTATAGAGGGTGCTGGTTTATAAAGCGCTGGATTAAAGAGGGACGACTGTACGTAGAATGTTCCTGATGACAGTGTAGTCCATTTTTTACGACTCCTTGTACAAAATCTTAGGCCAAGTAAAAAAATTGATTGTTTATCGTCCGCGCCCGCCCCAAATTTTCACCCCCCCCCCCCCGCCGAATTATTTTATTTTTTAGTACTGGTAAATGTACTGTATGTACTGCGGTCTACAGCCTCTAATCAGCGTGGCCGTAGATTTTGAAGGTCAAGTCCACAGACTGAACTATAACTTAGTTGCCATCAGTGGGCTTGAAAAGTGAAATTGATCACCAGCTGCCTGATTTTCTTCTTTTTTTTCTACGTAACGTTGGTTGTTCCACTTTTCATTATCCTCTGGGGTTGCGAACACCTGCCCTATAGGCCTACAGCCAGAAATGCATAATAAAAAATAAAATTAAAAACCTCCCGTCCGCCCCGATTTCTCGGGAAAATCTGACGATAAACAATCAATATATTTTAATACGTGGCCTTTACATCGAAACTTTTTCTCCCCGGAGAAAAAATGTGTTTATTAATATTATTAATTTTTTGCCCACATGCCTAAAAGGCCTTTTTACAGGGTACTAGTAGTTCGTATCCTAAGAAATGAAGAACGTTTCG